CTTTATAAGTCATCTATAAGGGGAGCCTTATTGTAAAGTGGTACCAACAAGGATCAGCCAAATGTAGCTGACATCTATAATGTAATGGTTAAATTCTGTCAACCATAACTTTGAGCTAAAATCAACATAAGTAAAGTTAAAAATAGTAGCCAAAAGATAAATCAGTGATCAAAAATAGAGCACGTGTGCAGAAGCAGATGTCAAACATAATTTTTTGAAGAATTTAAACAGATCATGTTTTTGTATGGAGTTTGTCAATGAAAATGTATTACTTAGTCTTTTGAAAAAAAAAAAAAAACAAGCTAAATGTTTCTGTTTATACACATAATGTGTAGGTAATTGGCAAAAACTCCAAACAGAAACTAAACAGGAAAAAAAACTGCATGACTCAGCTTTCAAATAAAGATGTAGTATTTAGGCAAGTAAAACAATAAAACCTTTATGAATGTGTGTAAATGAAGAATAATAAAAACGAGTTTATTGTGCAAACATGTTCAAATAGCTAAAAATCAGGGCTCTTGTGTTTGTTTTTTACTGTTCTTTAATTTCAAAGTAAAAGTCAAGCACAAAAAGGTTTTGATAAGCTTTTTTTATTTCATCAATTTAAACAAAACAAGTAAAAAGAGTGTTGTACAAAGTTTATATTATTTGTTTACTAAAGCTGGTGTCCTCAGTCTTGGGAGTACAGGAGGGGCAGGTACATAAAAAAAAAACAAAAAAAAAAACGTTGAAGTAAAAAATATAAAATGAATTTTCCCTATTTTATCTTTTAACTTTTTTTTTGACAGGTGACAGCAAACGGGCAGTGTGCATAGGAAGGAGAAACAGATTCAAAGTGTGAACAAACGATTAGAAAAAATATATATCATACAAACCATTACATTCAATGACGAATTATGCACTTTTGCAAATGATTATCAGTCATTTTTAATTTTTATTTTTTTTAAATACTGAAGTGCGTTTGGAAACTCAGAACCTCCAAAGAGAATTAGCTCACCTTCGGCTGTTCTTACAAAGGAAGAAATTACTGAAACCAGCACATCTCGTTTCATTTGTAAGCACGACACATGAATCCATATTATAGAACGCTAATTTAGTCTTTACCAACCATAAATTACATAAAGGGGTCCAAATACAATCATTCTGGGAAGCAAAGTGCATATCATTGGCACAGTGAAACACATTTTATCCCATGTTGGTCTTGTATAAGCTCGTGAAGGGATAAAAAAAATAGAAATAAAAAAAGTCCCCGAAATTCAAAGATGAGTGCTTYCCCCTGAAGATAAGTTTGCAATGGATTCCTAAAAAACAAAAAAGTGTTAAAAAGAGACCTCATTGAGGCTGCAGCATATGCACTGGGCGGGAAGCACCCAGTAGTGTACTGTACACAGATGAAAAACCCAAAGGAGAAAAAGTTTTGGAAGGGTCAGAGCGACACAGGCAGAGAAAACAAGAAGCACTTACTTCAGGGGGAGCKTTTTATTAACCCCAACAGGAAAAACCACGGGTCTCTCATTGATGTGCAAACGGTTTAAGAAAAAAATAAATCCACTGCAGGCCATCTTGTGCCCAAATGATTAGTTACGACCATTTTGCATGTCTGCCTTTCCTCACATCAGACTGTATTGCACAATTGGATTTATCAGACCCATCATGGTGTGGCATGACAATTTGACAAGACTGGTTTCAGTTTTGCATCAGGACAGGAGRAGGCGTAAAATAAAACAAAAAGATTAAAAATCCTTTCCAGAAGAAGGCGTTTCAGTCTTGGGAGAATTAGGCATGTGTTACAACACATAAGTATGCAGGAAGATTAACTTTATTTGATACGGTACATTCACTTATGAAG